CCCAACAAGATGCCACGACCACAGATGCACTGAAGATCTTGGGAGGCCGTGACATTCGAGCTTACGAAGGCACCTGTCACAGGCTGCACAAGCATTTCAACATGTTTAACTACAAACTTGATTCAGTTGCCAAGCCTGAAGTGGCGTCGCATGATCCAAGAGGCTGACCTGCAAGGGCCCCGCTCACTAAGCAATCACGGACGGTTGGCCGTTGACGACGTTCCTTTGTTTTGACCGGGAAGTCCCTGTACCCTGTGCACCGCATCCATCATTTCCGACGGATGGGCTCGGTCTTCACAGCACAAGAGGTGGATCAAAACTGCGCACCTTGCTATTTCTCAGGCCCAGGTAGGGCCTTCTCTATCCATGAACACTTGGTTTACACACCATGTTTCCTGCAGGAACAGGAAAGTCTTGATTTTCAGGACCAAGGCAAACTTACGCGCCGAGTCGATGAAGAGCATAATTAGCTCCGCTCCCGCGAACTGTACACATATTCACAAGCAGACTCGACATGTTTTCAGCCAATGGCGAACCCACTTTCGAGCATTTGCATCCCATTCCAAATAGGTTCCTTCTAGGTCTTTTTGCTTGGGTCTAGGCCGCTAGTGAGCTTTATCGTCAGCTTGCACCGGCGCCCGAAAGGTCAAGGTTGCACGAATGCAGTAGAAAATGCGTCGCGGTCTCCTTGCGACTATCACATCCTTGCCGACGCTGGCGTGCTTCGCCCGGCCTTGCTCTGTTGTTTCCTCCGTGGGTGCTTTAGACAGAAGTGCAAGTGTTTCCGCATATTCACGTCCGTCACTTAGCATATATTGCGCCTTTCGGGCGGCCTGCCTCAAATCCAAATGCATCGGCAGATGGCTTCAAGCCCCCCCGATTGACGGCCGGGTACCCACAAAAGTGGAGATTTGAGGCAAAAATCTTTTTGTTTCCTTCGTTCCGCCCTTCGCCAAAATATGCCAAAATCAAAGTAGAATCTCTCTTCTCTTTCTCCCTATCTCCTTATCCTGCATCCCAAGCTGGATCAACCTGGATTCCAGCTCCTCCCTCAACAAGACTAGCTGAACGATGCTAAGCTGCGAAGCTACACTTCAGGGACCGAAAGCAAAGTGCAGCCAAGGGACAGTCCCAGTAAGGCTTGGGCCTGTAGACCCAAAATGCCAAATCCGGGCGTCCTCCCTGGACTCCCAGGTATCCCATGACGGGTAGGAAAGCAATGCTCCACAGAAAGGCCCCGAAATCAAGCCGGATTTTGTTCACTATGAAAGGTATCGTCGTCTTCTGAAGCGCCACCTCCATGATGACCGAATAAATGCACGCAACTGACGCCGATGCGGCCACGCAGAGGATGGCAGCCACGCTTGAGGTCTTCCCGGCATGGCTACCAGCAACTGCAGCATCCATGAAGGCAAGAGTGATGGATGCATCGAACAATGCCGTGACGGATAACCATTCGATCCAAAGATAGCGGCGCTTCAGTATCCAGCGACCAAGGACCAGCGAAAGTGGAGTGTAGATCTTTCCCATCGCTACGTAAAGCGAGGAGTTTATGCCGAGACCCATTGACAGGCCCGCCAAGGCACCGACGACCGACTGCAGGAATCCCAGCAGCAAGAACTTGGGCAAGCTCTTTGGATCGAAGGCTTGTTTCAGCCCCTCAAGACCTCGGCAGCTCATATGCGAGCTTACGTCAAGCGTCAAGCTCCCAAAACAGCCAAAAACATCTGCTTCCGAGCAGCCATGTATATTGATCGTGAGTACGCATGCCAAGCCCATCCCGCAGAAGGGTATGCCTACTTGCAGCGACTGCGGCACAAAGAAGCGATTTGCTGACACGGCATTCCTTGGTGGCTCACGTGCTCACACAATGGCAGTTCCCTGCCAGCATCACCGAACAGCATGAGCTAAAAACCAAGGAAGAGTGTCTAGGCAAAAGAAAACTATGAAAACTAGTTCTTGTTGCTGCGAGCCCTTCACGAACTTGTTGAGTACTCACGATGCCTACTCTCTTAATCTGATCCCTGCCATGTACCTGTCATCTGCCGATTTATTGGATGCGATATGGCGTGATGAACGGCTACTACAGGCACGTAAGGTCGAGTCGAAGATTTGTGGGGTGCTCTAAACGTGGCTGAACAAGCAGATAAGAACCCTTCCTCACAGCCGTCCATGTTCCCAGAACATGCTCCAACAGCCGATGGGGAACAAGAGAGGCCCAAGACTGGTCCGTTGCAACCATGAGTGGGGCAAATGCTCGTTGAGTTTGGGGATTAGGTTGGGATGGTTTGGTGAGGGTGGCAGGAGCTGGGGGCAGGGCAGGGAGACGCATTCGTGCAAAGGAGACAAGTTGCTTTGAGTGCGGTTGAAAGTTCTTCGGCTCCTCCAAAGGTGTCTTCCAGCACTGAGGGTTGCATCTGGGTGAAGAAGTGACTCACGGCTTCCAAGCCGTCAATCTGTGCAGCTAAGTGTCTGGAACTCCGTTTGCAGCGCATTCGAGACAATGTACAAGACCTTGGTCAAGGCATCATTTGGAAAGATTCAAGCACCATCCTGCGGTCACAACTCAGCATCTCACTGGTAACGAGTACTTCAAAACATAGCCGCACAGTGGAGAAGTCGTGTCGGCAGCCTCCTCTGGCATGGTCAACATGCTTTCAGTGTGGTACTCACGACTCACAAGACATCATGCACTCTCACGGGCCTCACTGCGCTCATTACTGGGACATATCATTGCCATGAACGCTTGCAGCCCACCAAGCTCTCGCTTCGGAGTGAAGCCAGTGGCTTTCCACAGAAACTTCACGTTCAATCTGCCAGTCTGGAACAAGATTGCACATATGAAGACGAGAACTGCAATCAGCGTTGATGGAATGGATCGAATGCCCCAGTTGTGTCCCAAAGTGATTCCCACTATCGGGTCAACAAGGCACGCACTCAAGACACCCACTACGGTCTGGATGAGGGATTTGGTGACAGTCGAAAAATGTTGAACGACAAGCCCAGCCCACCACATCTGTCCAACCGTCAGAAACAGGAGCACGAAGTGCCGCTTGCTCCATGATCCAAACATGACATCGGTTCGGGAGCCCCAGGTGCCGTGGTTGTAGTAATACTGCCACGTCCAGACTGCTCCAAGGAGCACGAAAGTCACGAAGTCTAGATGGACTCGATGGATGTAATATCTGCCGTGCAAGGTGTAGTCACGGTGGGCCAGCTCTAGCCCGCGCGACAGGTTCTTGAAGATGCGCTCGGATAGGACTGATGCCACTGCGCCAACGGAAATTCCGAAAAATGCACTAATAATGCCACCAAAGTTCGCATCCGATTTCTTGAACTCAAAATAGGCACAGTAATTTATGTCGCACCGCTCTCGCATTATGAAGAAAGCGGGCGATGACAAGACGAGCATGGAGAGCGAGAGCCACTCGAGCTTTCCATACAGTCTGCTGAAAACGAAGAAGCTGACGACGGCAGCAACAATCACATAAAGGTTATCCATCATGATGAAGATCCTGGGTGCGTGGGTACATGACATTCTGCTATCTCCTGACGGTTCAATGCAGGCAAGTGTCACATGGTGCAAGCCTGATTCCACCGTGACGGTCAGAAGAACAGATTTCGCAGCAAATAGCAGTCCCACAAAGCTCCAGCGCCACAGAGCAGCGAAGGAAAACACCCGAATGGCTCCCTCAGTCTCTCAAGCAGGCGAACCAACGTGATCCCTTCTCTCTTTCGGGGCTGCAGCTACTGCATCAAGTTCGGTGCTAGCTGGGCGGTTGCCACAACCATCCACAACTCAATGCTTCGCACAGGTGTACAAGTTGACTTACATCTTGACTAAGCTTGCGACCCACTGCCCCTCCATGAAGAAGGAGATGCACAGCGCAATCGTCAATGAGACAGCACAGGCCATGACCTGAATAGACAAGTAGTTCACCTCGTGCCCAGCAAAGTCCCAAGCTCTTTCCTTCGAACCCTCCAGCACCGCGAATGTCAGCGCAATGGCACACCTGGCTCGATTTCCCACCCGTGGCGCCAACCAGGCATAAAGTCGAGGTGCCCAGTAGCGAAGGCCGCCGCGCTGGGGCATGGGAGTCTCACAGGACTCGAAGGATGAGTCGCTGTCTCCTGACTCCCGACCTTCATCACGACTCCTCTCATCGTTCAGTAAACCAGAGATTCCCGTGGCGATGTCCGTCTCAAGATCTTGCCGCCATGACCCCAAAACGGAGCCTTGTACTGCATCCGCTCCAAACTGAGTCAGACCATGCAGCGTGTCAAAAGGCCGACTCATCGTGTGGCTTGTGTCCGTCGAGCGACTCCTCTGAATCATGCTGCGCACACGGGCTATCCTGGAGACTGCATGCCTTCTGGCCACAGCCCAAGTCAGGCAACAAAAACTTTTCGTGATTTGAAGGAACTGTGGGAACTGGACACTCGGATTCCGTGGCCTAGCAAATCGAAACGACTAGCTTGGCAACACTGTCACAGCGAGGGTTGCATAACATCGGCTCGTAGATCATCTCAAAATATCTCAAATGCAGGAGCAAGTGCAATGGCATTGATACTTGACTGAACAGCGGAGGCGCGGCACAGAAAGTAGCGGCAGAGCCCATAGCTGACGACGTTTCCAGAGTGCCGTGGCCTGCCCCTCCTCAGATTTTCATTCGCGTCGAAGCTGGTTGTTCCAGCCGCTCTGCAATCGCTCCAATCTGGCTTCTCCGATGTTTGGAAGAAGCCGGCAGCTCCCAGTTATGAGCCCAGGTAAAGGAAGGACATGCACTAAGATGACAGAGATGACACTAGCAGGTTTAGCCGGTATTGCCTATCAGAACGAAGAGGGATGTGGCGGGAGAGGGAGAGAGACAGAGAGAGCGAAAGAGACGAAGAGGAAAGAGAGAGAGAGAGAGTACAGAAATCTGAAGATGATTCAGTTGGTGCCTTCCACAACACCAGTGCTGCGAGGCGACGTCCACTAGGCTGCTTGTGAAACGGAGTCAAACCCAAGCTGGGTGTGACTGCAATTCTTGCAGCACCCGCTTTGCTAGATCATTGCCTCCTCCATTCCCCGAGTTTTTGTCGGGATGCCATCGCAGCAAAAGCTTGCGCTTGGCGCCGGCACGCTCCCCGGCAGTCAGACCATGAAGTTGGCGAAGCTCCAGTGCAACGAGTTCCGAGACCACTTCATCCAACGACTTAGCAACCGTCTGGCATGCTGCACGTTGGAGGTCCGTGCTCAACTGGCGGCCTTGCATTTCCAGCGCCATTGTCCGTCTTTCTGCACTTCGCAACTGCTGCTGCAGAAGGCTGCACTCTTGCTTAAGCTCATTTGCTGTGCCAACCGCTTGTCTCGCAGTGGCCTCAGCAGCTCGTCGTGCCTCACGTTCTTTTTCAAGCTCCCTCTTCAAGGCATCGATCTCAGCATTCTTTTGCCGAATCCCGCTCAGAGAGTCCAGCCCTTCATCACCACAGCTCTCACCAGCTGCCAAGGCTGACAGCACCTCCTCCTCATATAATTGGGCCAGGATCTCACCAGCCGTCAGTCCCCTCGGCGTGGAAGTGCCAGACCTGTCGCAGTGTCAGATCCAACAAGGCCCCAACATGCTCCACTACAGGTCAACTCCACCCTGCTGTTGCGAATCCCCATACTGAAGCCAATCTTAAGTATGCTTCTTTGCCCATTGTCGCCAGGGGGCCTCGCGGCAATACGATTGGCACTTGAACATGTCGAGTCTGAGGACGCCGGTGAGGTGCTCCCGTTCTTTCGTAAATAATTCGACAAATAGTATGGCCTCCGGCTTCGCGCGGCTCGCTGCTCGAGCTCCGCAGCCTGAGCCTCTGCCTCAGCGGCAGCCACGGCCGCTGCGCTGATGCTTGTAACGGCACTCCCAGTGGGCCTCAAGAAGCTACTGGTAGCCGCTCTTACTTCGCACTGACGAAGCATTTCCCGGTCCCTACCTCGGGAGACCGGCTTCGCTCTCGTTACCTCGGATCCAATGCATTCGGATGCTTTGGCACAAATTAATTTACCCGCGAGGCTGGGACCCGGACAGCTCTGCACGGCCATCGCAGGAGGACAAACCTCGGCCACCATTTTTCTTTGCCGTCCTATTTTTCGCACACGCTAACCGCACTTCTTTCAAGCCGGGCCCTCTGCGGCTACGAGCAGCCTGGGGAGCTTCATTGCAGCCTCAGGCAGCTCCACTTCGGCCTCCTGCGATGAAACCGGTCAAAGGTCAAAGTCTGGCACGAGCAGGTCTAAAAAAATAAACCCCTTCTTCTACAGGCTGCGCTTGTGTCCTTGATGCCACCCGGGTGCAAGACTGTGGCCAGAGCCGAGTCACTGCTTGGCCACTCTGCATACACCCGAACCTCCCGCTGAGGGGCTCATGATGGACGGAACTGAGGTCACGCAGGAGGGAAGCCGTCAGAATTAAGGGCTCTGCTAGCCGAATGGGAAGAGACCGCCGGACTCGAATGAAGGAAGGTGGGCCTCTGCAGAATTGAAGCGAAACCACACACACACACACACACACACACACGCACACACGCACGCACGCACACACACACACACACACGTACACACGTACACGCGGCATCCCATACCAGCTCGAAAATCTCAGGGCAAGACCTTTCGCCACCGGGACGACGAAAAAATCCCAACCAGGCTCATGTCTGGCGAAGACCGCAGTGCACGAAACAGGCTTGAACTCGCTTAATCACTAATCACGCCAAGCCGGCGCCAAGGGTCCTGCATTCCCCTCTCCACCCTGGACATACGCCGGCAGAACTCCCTTTGCAAGATGCTTCCTCGAAATGCCGCAGCATGCCGGCACCTCCAGCCAGTCCACCCCATCGTAAGAGAAAGCGCACCTAGCCGGAGCGCTGCGGATGCACTCGCACCATTGTTGCGGCAAGTTTGAAAACCTGATTGCATCCGCCACCATTACCTGCGGAGAGCTTCTGATTGCGTGATGCAGCATGCGTGGCATGCCTAGCATGCGTACAGACATGCAGCCTCAAGTCGCAGAGGGCTGCATGCTCGTAGGCGACATGCTTTCGAAAGCACGTTAAGATGTGTTACAAACTTGGATGGGGCTTGTTGTCAACATGCGTTGGGTACATGTCGTCTTTGTTCCTCCATCTTCGTTGGCGAGGACTGAATCCCAGCTGGCTCAAGATCGACGCATGCAAACCTTGAAAGCATCCGTTCACCGTACCGCAGAGACAGTGCCGAATTCTTTCTCTCCCCAGCCACTATCGCAGTATGTCAGCAAATTTCAGCAGGCACAACTCAGATAGCAGCAGAGCACGTTATAAGTGCAATCTGCTCAAAGCTTTTCTGGCGCTACGTCGTTGCAGTCTGCTGCTTCTGATGGACCTGGCCCTACGTGCATTGAATTGGATCTCTGGCAGAGATTGTGATATGTGGATAGAAACTGAACTCATCTGCTGAGCTTTCACGATGCATCCAGTCTAATGTCCAACACTTCCAGTACGTTGTGGTACTGCACCTGCATATGCTACTTTTGCAATGTAGCAACGCTCTGAATCTCAGCATCACTCAAAGTAGCTGCCCGCTTGTGTGATCGGGGAGAGCCCACGGCCTCGTCTCAATACACTGGCACAAGCCGCTGCCTCGATGGCTCTTGATGTTGGAGTTGATAGCTGACTCATGTCAAAGCCCATCCTGCCTGAAGCGCTTCAGCACGTCCTGCGAAATCACTTCGAGAACCCACTTCCGATGGACCACCTTCCAAAGAACCGGGTTGCAGACTTGTGGGACTGGCAAACCATTTCTGATGTGCTTCCGTCTCGGAAGTCACATTGGTTGCATCATGATCTTGGAGACTCGAGACTCTGCTTTCCCTGCTTGCATGAATTCTTGCAAACCTAAATCTGGAGCTTCAGGGTTGGAGCTGCAACAGGCTAGACATTTTCGCTCTCCACACATCGTAATGAATACCTGCAAGCATCGAAATTCTCGCGGGGCATGCTTCTATCGACGGTGTCCTCCTCGACATCATCCTCCCACTCCCCTGGCAAGGCCAAGCAGCATGAAAACACCCGGAGGCAGGGGCAGGGAGGAACAGGGAGAGAGATTGTTCCGGCTGATTTCATGCCACTTTTTGCCGACGCATTCTTGGGCAGTTGCCTAGTGAGCTACGAAGATTGTGCAAAGTCTTTCACGACACGGATACCGAATCTTGACTTCTGCTGGCGTCACTGATAGCTTCCGGACTCAATTCGTGGACAGCATTCTCGCCTTGCAGCTCTTCAGCTGCGGTTTGGTACGTAAGCGTGCTCTCCTGCGGCATAACGAGCCCATGCACAAGAACGCAAACACACGGACACACACACACACACACACACTTGACACAATGTGTCGGCAGGCCTCAGATCTGTCGGGAAAATCAGGTATATCACTCCAAGTCAAATGAAATCGGTGAGTGTCAGGAAGCACCCTTAGACCTGAGACTTCTGACGATCGTAATATATCAGAATGCCGCAGCGAAGGAAATCACTGGCACGAAGCATTCACTCTGAACTCTGAACGAAAAATCGAAGCAACATCGAGGTCAGTTAGAATCAGCGAGACAAGACTCAGCGACTCAAGCAAACCCGAAGAGGGCGGGACGCACACAGGCCCTTGCGACCTCAACATGTGCGTCATCACAGACGAAGCATATGATTTCAAGTCATTGAAAAGTTGCTGCACTTGAACCCACGTGACATGCGCAGTAGGAGAAGAGGAAGTAGAGATGGAGGTGCTCTCCCTCTAGTTTTATGGCGCGCAGAGCGTATGGTGGTCACAGTCGTGGTCGTCGACAAATGATTGGGTGGTAGCGAACAAGAAGATATTGAAGAGTCAGGCCCGATGACTTGACAGAGAAAGTGACACCTACTGATGGACGCAAGCAAAAAATGAACGAAAAGAGGTCCTGATGATGGTGATGCGTGCGTAGACTGATGCTCCTGGGTGTCGTTCCTCGAATGACAGGCGCCATGGCATTATCAGCTTTCAACTTTCAAGTCCCAGGTTGAGGCTTACCTTACTGTTTCAGAGGCCTGTCGACAAATCACTGGCAGAATCAGACTGAGAAGTCAGGAAAACATTCTCAGATTTCGGTAACTCATCTGGTAGAATCACTCTCAGAAGTCTCAGGTTTGAAGCTGCAAGATTGATTGAACCAAGATCGTTCAGCACAAATGGCTCGACCAGATCGGAAACTCAGACTGAAGCATCCAATCCTGGTAAGATCAATCGGATAAATCAGCACTAGAGCAACCTCTGGGAGACACGGAGCATAGACACACAGACACACACACACACACACTCATGCACGCGCGCAACCTCTTGCTGTTTCGCTAGCTGATCAGCATGGTGGATTAATCCAGCTAGATGTTCCAGACTATGGCAAGATGCTGTTGCGTTTGCTTGTCAGACAGCTGTCGTGCACACTGAAGCAAACGACAACTTTGAAGACCGAAGACTGATCTTGCCAGCTATTCGTCAGGGCGTGGCTTTGTCCGATCAAGTCTTGCTGGAAACGTACATGTATCAACTGCATCCGAAGAGGAGTCACCCTTATCGACCATCAACAAGAACGGGTGGCAGCTCGCGGCATTGAGGAGGCAGATGTTGGGAAAGGCTTCAACACGCCGAAAGCACAGCCAAAAGAAACAACAGAGCTTCTCTTCATGGGCAAAAACCGTACTAGCTTTGCTTCCGAGTACATCGCCAGTGCACACCAGTAGTAAGCCATGGACATAACATCACACTGAAAGCTTGGTTATTCTCTTGAAGCATCATGCGGCATTTCGCAGACATTGGCCCTCCCAATCAGGGTGAGCAACAGAATTTTGTTATTTGCTGCCGCCCTGCACATCCCTGCGCAAGCAAGCTTCGGAGACTTGGAGAAAGAACCGTCTGCCCATGTCCGCCCACTAGGACTCTTTAACTCGAGGTTGGCTTTTAGTTTGAGACAGCGCCCCACTCCAACATCAACACTCAAGGGACTCCTTCACAGCAGCTAGCTGTGTCTGCAACCTGTCCATTTGCAGGGTGAGGCCATGTTGCGCGATGATATGCCACATGCAGCTATGCACAAACAGACAGTGCGGTACAGTTCGGTTCGCTACCATGCAGACAACAAGGGCACAGCCAGACTTATCATGTTCCATGCCGTTGCGCCTTCCTGCCAAAGCTCGCAGGTTTCGATTCTCCGCTTGGAGGAGCTTCATCTTCGTCTCCTGAAAGTCTGCATTTCCAATCTGATGCAATGTCAGGTCGGGTAACTCTCTGTTATATGCACGGACGTTCGCTGATTGAGTGCTCCTCATCTCCTGCATCTGCATCTGCCACATACCTTGCACTTTAGCAGCTACAAGTACCGCGCAGACAGACAACAGCAGCACGGCCGTAGTATGAATCTTGGGGCATCAGCTTGCACTGTGAAGTTGGCCTGCGCACTCGCGAAGCTCGGTCCTGAGGGCGCCAGACACTGCAGTTCCGACCGACCTAATTAATGCACGGTTGCGAAAACCGCCTGCCTGAGCTGCTGCTTTGCCGCGGCGCGCTTCCTCGCCCCGCGAAAACGGGCGAACTATGGCAGAGATGACGTGCGCAAATCAGATTCGGCTTCAGTGTCCGAGCCGAGTGGCAGAGCAGCTTGCCGACCTCTGCGGAGCAGGGTTGCCAGAGGGCCTCAAAGGACGCTGAGGAACGCAAAGGCAAAACCGGAGTCGAAGGCTTTGCGAGTTTGCTTGGCCTCCATGGAACTTTCGAACTTTGCGGCGTCTTTGGACTCCTGCAGCAGTCCACAAATGTCTCCGCATCCATCCTTCCAATTCACGCCAAACAAGTGTGCCTGGTGTTCTCTGTCGACAACCTCCGTCTTATTCGTTCAACGGGTGGGCTCTGGCATACCTGCATGAAGGCAGCGAGGCGCAACAAAAGCAGCCAGGCCTTCGTGCCTTGCGAGAGTGGCGATCACAGAATGCATCCATCGAAAGTGAAGTCTCCTGGTTGGCGGGGCTACATGGCAACGATGAGGCCTGACTGGTCTGACTGGTGTGGCCACCACCCGCAGCCAAACATGTCGCGTCTTCTGTTGAAGCATTTACGACCGATGCCAGAAGTGTGTCCAAATGTGTGACTACAGCTACCACAACTGTACAACTGCTTTGGTCCTGCACTCGGCGAGACTGACGTGAAGCCTCTGCCTCAAGGTGAGAAGCGGTTGCAATACGTTCCGGCCGTACTGTGCAGAGCGAGAGACACCGGAGGCAGAGGTGCTCGCCGGTCGCAAGGGGGATGTCGGGGCCGGTGTCAAGCCTGCCTCGCAAAGAGAGTGGATCCAAGAGAGATCGAGAGGGGGAGATAAAGAGAGAGAGAGAGAGGGAGAGGGACCGAGAGAGTCTATGAGAGTCTGTTCTGTGGTCTTGGCACCTGTGACGGATGACCTCGACGAGGCGACGGCGTGCTCGGAGGCCTCGCCTCAGCTCTGAAAGTGAGCGAAGAGGAGTGGCAGTCGCCCTCTGCAAGCGCACCCACGCTGACCAGGATGGCAAGCCGGCAGCCATGGCTACAGAGAACCCCAAGGCCCTTGCCCAGAGCCTACGGCTTCCAAAACGTCACGCAGCTTGAAACAAACAAGATCACACAAGGCGGCAAGGCGGCAAGGATGGACTTTGGAATTCAAATTCAGGGCATGCGGCATGGAATCCGCCCGCCGCCCTCTGGTCAGCTTTGCCAAGACCGAAGGGAGGGTCTGCAACGCAGACGCGCTACGGTGCTTTATCTGTTGACGAACTGAGCCATATTGAAAAGACCCTGAATCATCGCATCGAGCGCCTGCAAAAGCTACCTTTGCTCGCAGCTGTTCAGAACAAGAACTTGGTCAACACGGGAGTAGCCAAGGAGGCTGTCACTCTCAAGATCTTCTTGTTCTCGTGGCTAGGAGCAGTTAAATCATTTTGGAATCAGATCGTGGCAGTTCTGATTGCAGAAGCTTGCAGCCGCTGCAGTCCAGGTATGTACAGCATCCACGCGTACCCACTGTCACTGCACGTATGGACCGTGCTTGCAGAAACAGTGCTGTCTTCTGACATGTGCATTACCGAATATTCTTGTCGACTTTGATGGACACGGTCATCGTCGCAGCACACAGTGAGCGATAGAGATATTTCAGCCCAGGTGCAACGACGGAAGCATCCAGTAATGCCAGTGTCCAGAACTAGTGTGGCACGTACATTCTGGAAGCTGCATTTGTCGTGTCCTGTTTTTCTGTACCTCTGTCATGACTCCCTTCGCCTCAATAGTGCTTTGGCTGGTAGCTGCCGTCTGCACAAAGTCAGGTAAAAAGCTTGAACTCGAGACCTCAATCGGCACAGACAGTCATATGGAGTGGAAAAAGACGAAATGATGCCGAGTAGTGCGATGCCTGACTGGCCTCCAGCTACTCCAACAATAGCCGAACAGGGAAGCACGGTGGTCAGCAGCTGTGTCATAGGCGTTCATCGAGATCAAGCAAACTAGCACCTGGCCTGCACATGCCTGCACTGCCAGTTGCGTAGCTCAGTTCCGAACAAAAACTGCAATCAATTGCCGGCACCTGCCGATCGACACAGGGCAGAGACGTGCTAAACATGTTGAGAGGTTGTAAGGCAATGCTGCTTATATCTGCGTGCGGACTTGTGCCGTCTTTGCTTTCTCCCGCCGAATGTACGTGTTCAATTATGGATTCTTTGCGCGCCTGGCTGCAAGAACTTTGGCTTCTTGAAAGGTGAGAGACCGTGAGACCTTTCCGGTAAAGCACGCGCTTGGTGTGGATTGTGCCAACTGTGTGTGCAGAAAGGATTGACCGAATAATCGTGTGAATTGTTGATTCCTTGAGCGATTGGGTGCCTGATTGATTTTCGACTGACTGAATGACCTGACACGACCTGACTGGACCTGACCCGACCTGAACTTACCTGAACATACCTGACTTGACTTGACTTGTCTTAACTGACGGACCGACTGGTTGGTTGTTTAGTTGACTGATGGCTTTCTTTTGGGCTTGCTTGCCTGTCCTCGAACGATTGGCTGATCTGCTTGCTGCTTGATATCTTGATTTTTGTTCTTGCATGACTGCTTGATTGATCGGTTGATGGGTTGATTGGTTGATTGGTTGACTGGTTGGGATTGCATGCGCCCCAGAACTTTTCTGCGACTGCTCAGCTTCAACACAGCAAACCCTCTCTCGTTCCTACCAGTGTTCTTCCCAGCAAAGCCCCAAGCCTGCAAGCCAGCTCACCATCAGTTCACCATTCCCGCTCTGCACCTGGGCCAGACATTCATGACTCTCCGAGAGACGTCGGAGAGGCCATCAAACCAACGGCATGCAGCTCTTCATGAACAATCTACCACAGCCTGAATGCTACATGCTGCCCAGGAAAAGACCACTTGTGGTCAAGGATGCAAATGAGGCTTTCTCTGCTGACGGTATCTCCATGCTAAACACTGAGTGCTCAACTTGCCCATTATCAACTTTCTTGTTAGTTCCAAGGTCAGCACAAGCCGGGACAGGTGGAATCAAGGCGCTCCCAAGCAACCTTGAGTTTCAGAAACGTCGGCCAGGTGCCACATGTTTTGCACGGCCCCAGCACTCGCCCAGGTCTAAAGATGAGGCAGGCTGGAAAAGCTGACTAAAGTGTGTTCGGATGGTACTGGGGCAAAACTCATCGCTAGGCGTGGCATACATGTCCATGTGTGTGTGTGTGTGTGTGTCCTACTTACTTGTCTCGGCACCATCCTTATTATGATAACTTCTCTTCTCGGCAATCGTAGTCGCGTTGTTGCGCTTCATCTTCCTGAGCTTTTTTGAGTGTGCTGGTCAGCCCTTCTCCACCTATCAGCCGTGTATTCTATGGCAGACCTCATCTAAGGCCGGCTTGCTCGCAAACTATGCTCATCCATCTGCAAGCCTGTCCTTGTCTGTGTTTGCTATCTGGTAAGCCGTCTGTGCAATTGTCCGTGCTCTGATGAAGTGGCAGGACAAGCTTTTGTTTCTGACTCTTCCCGAACGGTTGTGCACATGGCAGACAGAGGAGCGACACCTTTTGCATCCGTTCGCCGTAGAGCACGGACGTCAAGAAGACAGGACAAGGGACACTCGGGTTAGACTAGGCTTAGGTTGGCCTACGCCGTTTTTGGAGCGAGCCTCCAGCAAACAACTGTTCGATCGCCGAAGCTTGCTGCGGTCCGGTCACCTTCCGATACAAAGCTGATACGATATGCTACGTAGGGCCTGGGGTCTATCAGAATAGCCTCGTCTACGCTTCTACAAGAGTATTCGCCAAGGCTGTCCAAGCCCAAATTCCCCTATCCAAAATCCGGAACAAAGCTCACCAATCAACCGGGCGGGTTGCACAGGTCGTCTTAACTGCGATAACCCCAAGACCCCTGATGGGACTTTACACACACATGCGCACGACTCCACATGCCCGCCTTGACATGTGAAACAAGCCTTGCCCGTGCAGCATCCTTAGGACAACCATGTCGGCACAGACACCCTTCTGTGGCTTAGACTTCTGAGAAGGCAAGAAGATCTTGTGACAAGTGAGGCAGCCGCAGCATCACGCATCTTTACCACAGAGCGGACAAGTCTTTCGGCACTCTGCCAACCACCTGGCTCAAACACGCCCGCATAAGACGAGGCCATCGTGGCCGTGATCGTTCGGACTCACACAAACTTGTCAGAGATACTTTGAAATACAGCTGCGGTGGAAGTGATGCTTGCAGCTCATCGCAGTGACATTGCTGTCTTCCTTCGAGCATCTTTAGGCATGCGCGGTCCAGTGCAATAGACTTGCAGACAACCAATGCTCGAAATGCTGCGACATTAACAAAAATGTCGAATCGAGCCTGGAATGGCATTAAGCATATGGAGCACACGCCACCTTGGCAACATGTGCACCGCAGATAGAAGAAGTGCCAGAACAGGCAGTTGCTAAGATGGGAACCCGAGAAGTCTGCCGGCAGAAGGCTCGGAAGTGCCTGACCCATGGGTGTGGGTCTGGGCATGGTGACGACAATCTCGGGATATCTCGAGTAGCTCCTAGCTGCGCTGTGACCAGAACTTGCGTGAACATGTGTCACGAGCCTCAATGCGGTCGCTGCTTGCAACGGGTGGTGCTACCGCCTCAGACATCAAACAGAACAATCAAGATGCCAAACCTGGCCAAAGGCTGCTTCTCGGTGTTGAGTAGTGATCACGGCTGCCCTAATGAAGTACCCGGCCCGGTCCAAGCGCAGCAGCAATTCGTAATCGTCTGGCCTCACAGACATGGAGCTTGAACGATGACAAGGCAGTAACCTCTCTGGGGTTCCGACGTGATCTCACGTGAAAGGAGATCGAAGACCTCACGACAGTCTGAAGTGTCTCTCAGGTCCCTCGTGAAGTGTTTAACAAAGCCCGCCCCGCACCTCGACAGATGTTAGCCCACAGGGCAGCTGCACCGGAATCGACGGGGAGACCGAGGAGAAGCGGGGCCTCCAAATGAGTGTGGGTCTCTTATGAGTCGAACGAACACATTACAGAAACTCGCTATCTCACTGTTGGACCCCTGTCTTGCGTAAACTTCCCGCATGTGTCCCTGTTCCATATCCGAGGGCATCTTCCTTCTTTTCAGCCTCCAAGAGCTGGAGCGACGCCGACTCCTGGCGCGAGCTACCGGTAACTCCTTTCTGGGAAGCAGCAGATGCTGGAGAAGGTGGCTTGGGCTTGCCGCAAGCTGGAAGCCTGGAATGCCCTTGACACATTTCCTACACAACACTTCATTCAGCTCATGGAACCTTGAGGATCAGCTCCTCACATTAGTGTTCCTCTAACATCGCACACCTCATCTCAACTACTCACGATGATGGGTTCACCTGAAACTTGCGGGCCGCGGCATAGACAACGAAAGTTTGGCGGCTTTTTGTATTCGATGAACGTCGGCCCGGCAGGTCAGGGAGCTTTTATCCACGGGGTTGTAGTAGTAGTAGTAGTAGTAGTAGTAGTAGTAGCAGCAGCAGTGGCAGCGGCAGTAGCCGCAGCCGGTAGCCCTAGCAGTAGCAGTAGCAGTAGTGGTGGTAGCAGCAGCAGTGGTAGCAGCAGCAGTAGCAGTAGTACCAGTACAGTGTGCCGGGAATTTAGAACTATTATTTGAGCAAGATTGCAAAGCAATCTTGCAATCTTGGTCTCGCCGACGAGTTTATCCTTTAGACCAAGATTGCAAGGGGGAAGCAAGATTGCCAAGCAATCTTGCAATGTTGGTCACCAAAAGGTAAAGTAGTCGGCGAGCAAGTGGGGCAAGGGGGGCAGCAAGATTGCCAGTAATCTTGCAATAATCTTGGTCTCCAACAAGTGAACTAGTTGGCGTGCAAGTGGGGCAAGTGGGGCAAGATGACCAAGATTGGCAAGATTGATTGGCAATCTTGCTCCCCCTCGCCGACCAAGATTACCAAGATGGTTCCATCAAATGAGTGTTCTAAATTCCCGGCACGTAGTAGTAGTAGTAGCAGTAGCAGTAGTAGTAGTAGTAGTAGTAGTAGTAGCAGGCTTGGTAGTCGTCGTAGTAGTAGCAGCAGTAGTAGTAGTAGTAGTAGTAGCAGTAGTTGTTGTAGTAGTCGTAGTCGTAGTAGTCGTAGCAGTAGCAGCAGTAGTAGTAGTAGTCGTCGTCGTGGCGGTGGTGTAGTAGGTGTAGTACCCGTGGTCATAGTAGTAGTAGTAGTAGTAGTAGTAGTAGCAGTAGCAGTAGCAGTAGCAGTAGCAGTAGTAGCAGTAGTTGTTGTTGTCCTTGTTGCTGTTGTAGTAGTGGCAGTAGTAGCAGTAGTAAGAAATAGCAA